ACCCCCCCATCCCCCCGGGGACAGGTGTGTGCCCCCCCCAGCCACTCAGCAGCGAGGGCCAGGGGAGAGGGAAGGGGGCGGGAGGGGCGGTGGGGGCCAGGCCCTTCTCACTGAGCCCGCTCTCTCCTTCTGCAGGGACTTCCAGGCCCCAAAGGGGAGAAGGTAAGTGATGCTGCAGGGTGCGGGATGCCAGACCCCTGCCTCCATGCTGCGGCTCCAGCCCGTGACCCTGTGAGTCACAGCCGCTCTCGGGCCTCGGTCTCCACCCTGTGAAAGACGCCAGCCGAGCCCGGCTCTGAAGGCAGCCCCGATGTTCGCAGGTGACCACATAACGCGCCCGGGACATCGGGGCTCCCCGGGCCCAGAGCACCACGTGGCCCAGGCACAGCCTGTGCACGGCCGTGGGTCCTGAGGCTAGCCGGCTCGGGTGTGAACAAGGACTCCCCAGGGGTTTTGCTCTGGCAAGGACAGCCTCGGGAATCCAGGTGGCAGCACGCTCTCTGTCCCTCGTGCGAGAAGGCTCCCTGCACTTGGCACTGTGGGTCACGGCAGAGCCCTGGGGGCCGGAAGAGAGCAGAGGAGACCCGTGTGCTCGCCGTGGTCAGGGAGAAAGGGACAGGGCAGACCTCGCCGTGTCAGGCCCGACTTCGGAGATGGGGCGGGCAGAACTGGCGGTGGGTGCCCTGGTGCTGCGGTGGTCGCGGGCACAGCGGCTCACGTCTCAGCCCCATCGCCAGGCTGAGAAGTCACAGTTGGCCCAGAGCCTCAGCCCTGCATTCTGACTCCACCCGGTGCAGCCTCCGGCCTCAGCTTCCCCATCTGTAAACCCAAGCGCCCTCACGAAGCTGTGGGGACCACTGCCGGAGGTCGCGGTCACCGTAGATGAGGCATGGGCGCAGCTGCCCACGTCCTCCTCTCCCGCCCGCGCGGGCCGGTACCACCCAGTCGGGAAGCGACGCATTCGAGCCGGGCCTCTGAAACCAGAGTTGGGCCCACTCTGCCAGTGCTCGTGGTTTGAGAGCTCACCACTGTCCTCCCTCTCTGTTCCGGGGCAGCTGTCCTGGGCCGCAGAAGGCTGGGGGCTCGCCACACACAAGGGAACGCCTGATGCCAAGCCCTGGGTCTGCTGGCTGTGTGGTCTTGGGCAGTTCATGGCTTCTCTGAGCCTCAGTCTCCTCACGGGAAACAGAGATAAAACAGGGCCTGCCCGTTACTTTAGAATTGGGTCAGACCGTGTACACGACGGCCTGAGC